GATGCAGAAGTATAAATGAAAACTGACGCATAGCCTACGGCGTAGGTCCGACGCAGAAGTATAAATCAGCCTTTAGCCTTGTGGCTACTCGATCCGTACCGGAAACACGATTTGTACTGCGCATGCGCGGAAATGGCTACTCGATCCGTAGCGCGCATGCGCGGAAATGCGTCTACTTCCTGTCTGTATGACGAAACAATTTACGGCAATTTTGGGTAGTGACAGTTATAATACTACTAATAATTATTGTTTTCATGTGTTGACACTACCCGATCCGTACCGGAAATAGTCATTTACTAGTGATTCTCTTGATATAAATACACCCTTTTTTTTAAATATAAATTATATCGATTAAATTTGCACAAATTAAATCAATTCAGTAAAATTAAATAAAAGAAAAAAAATAGTTTACATTTGCTAGACTCTATTTGGGTAATACAGATGAGTATATAAGTGTGTTTTACATTTAATTATTAATTTTCTAAAAGATATGTTTTACTTATTTCAGCATACTTTAACAAATGTCTGCATCTAAGAAACACACAAATATTTTTTTTTCAAATTATTTATTCATAAATGAATTCATTCATTCCCTCCCTCCCTCATCTACTACAATTGCTCATTGAGGAACATGGCATTGACCTTCAGGCCTTGTTTATCAACACAGTATGACAAAAATGTTTCCATGTCATCTTGAGACGGAAATATAAACAAAAAGTCATCCTTTGCTTCAGGGAATTCACTCCCCAGGGCCTTCCTGAGTGCATTTTGTTTACTTTCACTGTTCATCTGCAGAAAAGCAGGCTCTGTCACCTCTCCACGGAATAAGTCTCTGTGATTGTTTACCCAGTACCAAGCTGTATGAAGGTCTCTCACAATAGTAGGCTGTTGCACCTAAATATACAAATATATAATGGCACAAATAAATTAAACTATTTATCCAACTTGCATGCAACTCTGTGATATATGACCAATACAATAAATTTACCTTATCAGTGTCCTCTTCAGCCACAACTCTTCTGCTGGGTGACTGTTTGGTGGTGGTGGATTTTGACACCCTAAAGACAGGCTCAAGGGTTCCCTGAAGGAGTTGGGATGCTTCTTCTGTCCAGTGTGCAAATCTCTGTCCATGCCTTTGTAAAATATGTATATGTACTCTATTTGTATAACACTTTTCTAGTATCACTTTGCCAACAGTGACTTAATACAGCCGAGATACTGAAATTGTATCTGTAGAGTCTGTCATACCCTTCAAGGCAAAACCTCTCCATCAACTGAATGCACCACCACTGGCGAATCAATGGCACTTCCTCCTAAAAGAATATATATAGAATATAGCTTACCTCTGTGAATGTTAGTGGGCATGATGTACAGGTGCTGAGAGCATACTGTGAAATACAAATAACACTGTACGAGTTTGATTTTATTATTTAACAGCTCTGACAAATGAAACATTCTTACCATCAGCATGTAGATGCCACAGGAATTCCCTGTACACTGTTGAGGAAAACACTGGAAAAGGATATAGATATAGGAGCTAAACAATTACAGTGAACGTAGCTTGATATAAAAAAAAAAAATTTGAATTAAGCACATGGCCCAGGTTGTAACAGAGTCAATTCTCTTTTTCATTATAAAATATTTCAGTACTAATAGTTACCTTTGATGATAAAATTCGTCGACACCCGTCTAACCTTCCGATGATTTAATTTGTAGCACTTACCAACAAGTTACTCTGCCAGACAATGATCATGACTTCAGATATCTAGAAGAATATATTCCAACAAAAATCACACGCATTTTATGAAGAAATGAAAGCCATTACACACATAAACTTAATGAATAGATGTTAATTTCGATGATTTGTTAGTTTTATTAGCTGTCACTAATAATTATATACAAATAATTATGCATCACATGCATAAGCCCACGATACAGTAGCCCAATCATATCGCTAGCACAAAGTGTAGTTGTTCGTTACCACGGCAACTGCTTGGTCTTCAGCTCATAAATATGTATGCATATCTATGCTTCAGCGTCCCACACCGCTTCTTGCAGGACATGTGAACGTGAAAAAAATGCTTAATGTGGCTTAAAGTACAATGACAAATTCGGAATACAATATTACTGATCATGCATACAGGGAAGCATATGAGCCCAGATTTTGAACACAACATCCAACGTTGCAGGTTAAGTGTTTTCCTATAGAAAACCGTTATAGAAAATGCATAAGCGTTGCTGTTTTGTGTTGCATTCATATTTTGGGTCCACCTGAATGCCTGTATATACAATTTGCATGATCATTAAGTTGTGTACTGAATTTGGTTCACTCTGTCTTTGTACTTCAAGCCACGTTAAGCATTTTTCACGTTAAGCGTTTGTCCTGCAAGAAGCGGGACGCTGAAGGCCAAGCGCTTGCCTTGGTAACGAACAACGATGCTTTGTGCTTTTGAAATGAGACGACTTACTGTATGAACATTGCATGTGATGCATGAAAGGGACAGCTAATTAAACTAATAAATAATCGAGATACACATCTATAAATTAAGTTTGTGTAATGCTTTCATTTCTTCATTAAATGCCTTGATTTCTTAACTGAAATATTGGTCTGGAATGTTTGAAGCCATAACTATTACACAAAAGTCTACATACAGATAATCTATCTGAAATCGTTATTAAATGATAGAATATACTCTTTAGATTACAGAACAAAGCAATGTTAGCGGTGTTCCTGCATGGCTTTGACCAACAGATGTCGCTAGCGTGCTGTCACTCTTGCGTTGCGCATGCGTCGAGTAAGTCTTTTTTTGTGGATTAGGCTTTCATTATTACGAGAAAGTTTCTCAATATAATGAGATACTAAGTCATAATTTTGAGAAAGTTTCTCATTATTATAACTTACAGAATTATATTTTTTCTCAACTGTGGCGGAAACGGGCTTCCATAGTTCTGGCCATTATCTCACAGTAGAAGTACTAGATCAAAATGTGAGAATAAGAACGCAAGGCTTGTTTTAAGTCTACAGCTGCCATGCGCTCATTGGACGGCGTAGAGTCAGTGGTTTTTGATTGGTTATTGTCTGGGGCCTCAAAATGACAGTTGACCAATGAATGTGCGTCTCCGGTTTTCAAACAAGAGGCAACAGTTTGTGGTTCCCGCCTAAATGTCCTGCATTCTTGTTCACGTTTGTATGTCAGATTATGTGATTTATTTATTGTTTTTAATACACATTAAATTAACATACTGGTTAAGAAAAAAAAAAGAATAGCGTCTCCGGTTTTCAAACAAGAGGCGACAGTTTGTGGTTCCCGCCTAAATGTCCTGCATTCTTGTTCACGTTTGTATGAAAACAGAACAGGCGAAGTCGGTCTTAAATTTGTATGTCAGATTATGTGATTTATTTATTGTTTTTAATACACATTAAATTAACATACTGGTTAAGAAAAAAAAAAAAGAATAGTCTGAATACTGTAAAACGCTTTGGATAAAAGGGTCTGCATAAATTATAACTATAGTACTGCAGAATTTAAATGCAATATGGCATAAACTACAGAAAACCATAATTGAAGAGAATTATATGGAACTTCAAATAAAATTTCACTTTTATAAGACCTTGTTTTAAATTTTGTTTCAGTTTGTGATCTATACAAACTGAATGAAAATCGCTCTCGCATGGAGAAATTGTGTGGCTCTTAAAAGAGCCGTTGGTTTGAGAATAAACTTCACTCGGTTTACTTGGCTTTGGCGGGTTTCTCGGTCTTCTTGGGCAGCAGCACGGCCTGGATGTTGGGCAGCACGCCGCCCTGAGCGATGGTCACGCCGCCAAAAAGCTTGTTCAGCTCCTCGTCGTTGCGCACCGCCAGCTGCAGGTGACGGGGGATGATACGGGACTTCTTGTTGTCCCGAGCGGCGTTTCCAGCCAGCTCCAGGATCTCAGCAGTGAGGTACTCGAGCACAGCGGCCAAATACACCGGAGCACCGGCACCGACGCGCTCGGCATAGTTGCCTTTGCGGAGAAGCCTGTGAACACGACCGACGGGGAACTGCAGTCCAGCTCTAGAGGAGCGAGTCTTGGCTTTAGCGCGGGCTTTTCCTCCGGTTTTGCCTCTTCCACTCATTGTGATAACAACTGTTACAAGACAGCTCAAAATACCAATGACACTTCAGAGAGCTGCGACGTTACTTTTAAAAGAGAGCGTGCCAGTCTCCTATTGGCTGGAGTCTGAATACGTTCCAAGCCAATCAGTGAACTTCTCTCAGAACTTCAAACCCCACCCTTTTTCTGCTGCTGACAACCCTCAAGCACAACGTTAACCATGTTTACGAGCTTCTTTATTGTGTGTACCTGTATTTATTTTTCTATATATTCCTTTATTTTTACTTATATACATTTTGACTTTACGTAAAACACTTTCAATTACCTTTGTGTATTAAATGTTACATCAACCTGTCTCACCTATTATTTATTTAATTAGTTTTAAGCATAATAAAGTGATTCAAGATAAATGTCTTACTTGAAGCAGAACATTAATTCTCAATTAAGTCCAAATGCAACATTACGCGACACTGAACAGAAATAATGCTCTCACTTTTAATTAGTGGGTGGCTCTTAAACGAGCCGTCTTGATAAAAAACATGTTAAAAATGACTGTTTATTTCTTCTTGGCTGCTGTCTTTTTAGGTTTGGCTGCTTTGGGTTTCACCGTCTGGAACGAGCTTGAACGAGCCGGAGGCGCCGACTCCTTTGGTCTGGACCAGGGTGCCTTTAGTCACCAGACTCTTGACGGCGATCTTGACGCGGGAGTTGTTCTTCTCCACATCGTAGCCACCGGCAGCGAGCGCTTTCTTCAGGGCGGCGAGGGACACACCGCTCCTCTCCTTAGATGCAGACACAGCATTAACGATGAGCTCGCTGACGCTTGGGCCCGCTGTCTTGCGTTTAGCCGCTGCTTTCTTCTTGGCCGCTTTGGTCACGGCAGCTGCTGGAGCGGTTTCTGCCATGATGTCTCTGATCGGATCTGGACTCGAACACAAACTGACTGATGATCAACAATGAGCCGCTGCTGGGCGGTAGGGATGAGCATATCGATACTGACGCGAGTATCGAAAGTATCGATACTCAAACAAAAACATCGATACTACGGTGCATTTTATTTATCAGTGGTTTTGTTTATTTAACAATAATAATAATAATAATAATAAGTACAATATGCATGGGATTGGACGAATAACCTTTGTTAGCGAGTAATTGTGTAGGATAGAACTATGTTCCTGCTCATCTGAACACGCGCAAATTTTGCAAGACAGAACTAATCAATCACAGATAGCATTCACTCACTGCTGACAGTGCATTCAAACAGGGCTGCGTTCCCCAAAAGTATCATAAGAAAGCATTAAAGCTTTTGGGAACGGCAGCCCTGAACAATGCTTATCAGAGGACAGAAAAAAAAACCATAAATGTTTGAGTTATTTCACAATAAACAAATTGAAATTGTAGCCTACATAGTTTGTGCAATTACAATTATTTAAATTGAACGTTGAAAGATAATATTGATCATGTAAAGGTTGCATTTTATGCATGCAACAGCCGGTCACTGGCAGTCCCTAATGGCAGTATAAATATTGCACTAAATCAAAAGTTCAAATGCTACAAATAAGTTAGAATATTAATGTTGTAATACTGGTAGCACTAATATAAAAATGTGATGATATGTGTTACAAAAAAGTAAAATTTTTTAAATATGTTGATGGTTGTATTTTTTTTATTTGATCTCAGTATTCCTATCAGTGTTGTATAAGGTTTTTTTATGCATAATAGTAACCCTACAATGTGATCAAACAGTTTAAAATAGCTGGGCTAAGATATATAACAATTTTTATGACTGCAGAAATATGTTAATTCAGTATACACATTATCCCACCGGTTACAATTGTGACTGACCATATAACATTGCGACTACAGTAAAAGAGCTTTTACACACTTTTCCAAAAAAATACAATAAATGTATTGATTATTTCAAATGGTTACTAATGACACATCATTTGGATATTTTCATGTCTGGGAAAAATTTGGGATTAAACGGGTTAAAATGCGTTTTAAACAAAGTTAAGTGGTTTTCATTACCCATTTTACTCTTAGTAATTCACTAATTTAATTTAAAAGTTTAGTGCAGAAGTATCGAATCGGTATCGATATCGACGATACTGCCTTGAAAAATATCGGTATCGTATCGAAAAACAAAATAAGGGGCTGCGCATTTAACCACAGCTGCGCATTTAACCACAGCATGAGAACCGTTTAGACTAAACTCGCTCTGTTCAGTGTCTGTGTTCCTCCGCGAGCGACCGGTGCTTGTGTTTTCTCCTTTCATATTTTGAATGAAATTCCAGTAAATGCGTTTTAAACAAAGTTAAGTGGTTTTCATTACCCATTTTACTCTTAGTAATTTAATAATTTAATTTAAAAGTTTAGTGCAGAAGTATCGAATCGGTATCGATATCGACGATACTGCCTTGAAAAATATCGGTATCGTATCGAAAACAAAATAAGGGGCTGCGCATTTAACCACAGCTGCGCATTTAACCACAGCATGAGAACCGTTTAGACTAAACTCGCTCTGTTCAGTGTCTGTGTTCCTCCGCGAGCGACCGGTGCTTGTGTTTTCTCCTTTCATATTTTGAATGAAATTCCAGCTGTACAA